AAAGTTAAAACTTTGAATTTATGTTGAAAATCGTTTATTTATCATGCCTAGACTACCAAAAAGTGCACAAAAATCTAAAAAATGGCGAATTCAACAGATAAACAGTGCTTCGATTATTTCATATTAGATCTAGAATCAGATATATTTTTTTGTAAACTCAAGTTTATCAATGATTTCAGTTCTTTTCTCGTTAAAATTGGGAGTAAAAACGCTTTAACCAAATTTATGATAAAATGTAAATCAGAGCATAAATTCAAACACTACATAACAAAGCAGCATTCAAATAGTTTCTCTTTAACACAGCAAATTAAAGCATAAACTGATATTAAGCAAACGTGTTCTACAAATAAGTTCATGAATTTTGTTTAAAAAAACATTCTTATTGTTACAAACAATCTTTGCTGCAACGTGTTCTGCAAAGAAGTTCATTGATTTTGTTTTAAAAAACATTCTTATTGTTAAAAACGATCTTTGCTGCCATCCATATACAATATATGAGATGAGCTTTCAAAGTAAAGATTTTTAAAAGATAATAGGAAACTATTATTCAAGTTAATAAAAAGAAGTTTATAAAAATTATTTATTGTGAAGTTTTTTATCCAAAATTTAAAGTTGCAGATCAGAAAGGATTTTTCTAACAGATCCTCACCTCTAGTAGGATATAAACTTGCTAATCATATTTAAAAAGAGAAAAAAAAAAATTTAGTTCAATGTTTTGGTTGTTACGTATTTAGTACTTTTTATCAAAGAATACCTTAGTCAAAAAAAAAAAAAAAAGAAAAAAATCTAGAAAGGGTTTTTAAACTCCATCAAATAAATATTAGACATTTAATAAAGGTTATTTTGATAACCAAAAAATTTGTTAAAAACATTCTAGCATTTAAACTGTATTGCAGTATGATTGAAAGATGCAATAATAAAGTAAAAATCAAATAAAGTTGTGTAGTTTTTTACTTTAAATAATAATATCATATAGTGTAATGAATAAAGCACTTGGTTTAACTACTTAAGTAGTTTAATAATTTTTTTCGGGATTTTATTTATAAAATTTAAAAATATTATTAAGATTTCTTTGCAACACTTTTCCTTCACACAACTTCAACCTAATAGGTCACTTTTTAGCCTCTCTATATTTTTTTAAAGATTGACAATGCACCTTTTGATACCCCAGTTACTACAATTACGTGTATGATATAACTGCAACAATAAATACATTTCTTTATTTAAGATAGCAATTAAAACTCAATTCAAAAATAATAATGACAAATATATATATATATATATATATATATATATATATATATATATATATATATATATATATATATATCTGTGTGTGTGTATATACAAACGATCTTTGCTGCAACGTGTTCTACAAATAAGTTCATAAATTTTGTTTCTATTCACAAATAATAATGGCAAATGTATATATATATATATATATGTGTGTGTGTGTGTACATATATATATATATATATATATATATATATATATATATATATATATATATATATATATATACAAACAATCTTTGCTGCAACATGTTCTATAAATAAGTTCATGAATTTTGTTTCTATTCACAAATAATAATGGGAAATGTATATATATGGATATATATATGTGTATATATATATATACACACACATATATATATATACATATATATGTGTGTATATATGTATATATATATATATGTGCATATATATATATGTGTGTGTATATATATATATATATATATAAATATATATATATATATATATATATATATATATATATATATATATATATATATATATATATATATATATATATATATATTTGTGCTTTGCGTAAACCATTAAATCTTGTGATATTCTTGAATTGAAGATTTTTATCTTTTATTATATACCAAATAATGTTTTATAAGATTTGTTGCTAGTAAAATAGCCACAAAATAGCTTTGATATTTTTTTTATAATGAAATAAGGTTAGACACAACTGTATTAAACATTGATCTTTTTTAATGTAAATATTTAAATATTGACTTTTGTCTGTTTCAGAAGAAAAAATTGATTTCTTTGAGTTGAGCTTTTGTAATATGAGAAACTACTATATTCTGCCTAAAGAAGGCTTTGCCAACGAAAGCTCTTAACTGGTTGATTTATTGAAGGTAATAAACCTGTCGATCCAACAAAAAAGTTATCTGATATCATATTTTATCATTAGTTATAATATATTATAACTAAAGGTTTATTTTTATTTATAATTTGTAAAACTTTTCTTCTTGATTCTTTGTTATAAACTTCATCGGTAGAAAATATTTCAAATAGAAAAAGATTTATACTTCTTCTAAAAGTTCCAGAACCAAATATGTAATAATTAAGACGAGGCATTTGAAAAAATCCAGTATAAATCAATAACCTTCTTGTAAATATTCTTCTTAATGCGTATTTGTTTATAAAAAGTGTGCCCTCATTTGTAGACTGGTTTCTAAAAAAAAAGCTAACAATAAGATAACAATAACTAAAGCGCTCTTAAACTGGCCAGACTATGTATATTATGACTATGGTTTGATTAAGTTTATTGTTTAAGTTATGCTTACGTGCGTTGCAATAATCAATATCAATATTATAATAAAATTTGTTGTGTTTACATTTTATTATGGCTACTGTCGCTGTAAAGAGAAAAATGAATACAAAATCAATTAAAGAAAAGTATGTTGCTTTAAGGGAAATTGGAGAAGGATTGTCAAAGTCTCAGGTTGCTATAAAATATGGCATTCCAAAAAATACGCTGTCAACATGGATCAAAAATAAAAAAAATATTTTTGAATATATGAAGACACAAGGGAACAAGTCTAAATGTATGAGAATTAAAGAACGAACATTTTCAAATTTAGATAATCTTGTTTTTAAATGGCTTTTAAATGTAAGGAGCAGAAACGTGGCAGTATCAGCAACAATTCTTGAAAAAAAAGCCAGAGAACTTGCTGAAAAAATTAATATAAATTGATTTCAAGCATCTGATGGTTGGCTTAATCGTTGGAAAAACAGGTGTATTGTTTCTTTCAAGAGAGGGTACAAAGTTTGGAGATGTGATACAAAGATGTGGAGAGGGTAACTCTTGTGCAGCTGATCACGCTGTGGAAGGAAACAACTCTCCCTACAATTTTATCCAGGTATGAACTTGATGAAATTTATAATGCAGATAAATTTGTATTATTTTTTCGTATACAACCTAATAAGTCACTTAATCTTCAATCTGAGATATGTATGGGGGGAAAGTACAGTAAAATTCGTCTTAAAATGGTCGCAGCAAGTGCAGCGGGTAATAAAATTCCTATGTTTGTAATAGGAAAATCAAAATCACCTCGCTGCTTCGAAGGAATTAAGCACTTACCTTGCAGATACAGAAACCAAAATAAAAGCTGGATGGATAGTGTATTGTTTGAAGAGTAGATACGAGAAATGGATATAAAGTTTACAAAAGAAAAGAAGAAAGTAGCGTTCATAATAGATAACTGCCCAGCACACCTGACGGTTGATAATCTAAAATCTATTGAGCTCATTTTTTTACCACCGAATACCACATCTAAACTTCAACCAATGGATCAGGGAGTTATATGCTCTTTGAAAGTTTATTACAGATCTTTGGCATTGCAAAGGGTGGTCGTAGCAATCGATAAAAGAAAAGATCTTCCTGTTTTCTCAATTTTAGATGCAATGAAAGTTCTTGATCTTGCATGGCAAAAAGTGAAAACCTCCACCATTGTTAATTGTTTTGCAAAAGCAGGAATTTTTGAAGATCAGCAGAAATGTGCATATTCAGATGAAGACAATGACCTCTTTAAAGAGGTTCAAAATCAGATAGAAAAACTTGATAATTTTTACCCTCTAGGTACAACAGCTGAAGATGTTATTTTTGCAGATGAAAGCTTAATTAGCACAGAACCTTTACTTACAGATGAACAGTTGGTAGATAAAGTTAAAAATGCAGCCAATAAACATGATAATAATGACGAGGAAGATAATGACGATGATAATGCAATCAATCCAGTTTGCAAGTGTTGTATGACTATATTCCCTTCAGTCTTATAAGTGAAGATTTGCAACAAAAGCTCAATGCTGTCTCGATTATATTCGATAGAGACGTATCTTCAAAACTAAAACAGAGTGACATTAGAACATTTTTCAATTTATATTGTATTATTTTTACTTTTGAAATCAAAACTTTTAATAACTGGAATTGTTTTTACTTATCGGGCAAAGTTCGTGTTATAGAATGTCCCAATAACTCAAACATTCGCTAACTCAAACTATTTTCTAGGTTCCTTGGAGGTTCGAGATATCGGGAGTTCACTGTATATATATATATATATATATATATATATATATATATATATATATATATATATATATATATATATATATATATATATATATATATATATATATATATATATATATATGTATATATATATATATATATATATATATATATATATATATATATATATATATATATATATATATGTATACATATATATACATATATATACATATATATATATATATATATATGTATATATGTATATATATATATATATACATATATATATATATATATATATATATACATATATACATATATATATATAAGAAGAAGAAAATTAGATAAGTGTTTTTACTAATATATATATATATATATATATATATATATATATATATATATATATATATATATATATATATATACATATATATATATATACATATATATATATATATATATATATATATATATATATATATATATATATATATATATATATATATATATATATATATATATATATATATGTATATATATATATATATATATATATATATATATATATATATATATATATATATATATATATATATATATATATATATATGTATATATATATGTATATATATATATAATAAAAAAAATTTTTCATTTAATTGGGCGAATGAAATAATTTTTTTTTATGAAAGGAATTATGCAATGCCAGAGAAAGAGAAATTAAGACAGAGGAGCATCTTAAACTTATTGGTAATTTATGTACATTTTATTTATATATATCCATAAAACAGTAATGTTTATCTCCATAAAACAGTAATGTTTATCAGGAACATGATATATAATTGTTTAGTAATAAAAGATTTATCTAGCATTAAATTCTAACTATTTATGCACTTGTATTATAACCTAACCCAGAGAGAACTACTGGTTGCCTCATAATTATTAGTGTAACTGAGAAATTAAGTTTTCTTTTATTGTTTATTTAGTTATTAAAGATTTTTAAATTTGTGTCTAAATTTTGATGAATCAAATAGTTTAAGGTCTAAACATTTTGAAGTTTTTTATTAAATTTGTATGATTTATATGAGGTTTAGCAAAACTTTTAGGGGTTACATGCTTTTATTCTTGTATTACATAAAATTAGTATATATAGTAATAAAATAAAAATATATACATAAGATATTTCACATTTAACAAGAAAACCTTGAGGTTGTTATATTCATTAATAATAAAAAAAATTCATCAAAAATTTATCTATGACAAAAATAAAAATTGTCAATAATCTTTTCTTAATCTTTTATTATTTAAAAATTTTTTAAGCCGAAAGGGAAGAAGGAAGATTACATGCAGAAGTGCAACGCTTAGAAGCAGAGTTAAATGAAATTAATAATAAAAAAAATATCTATGAGGTTAGTTCAAACATAACCTTTTGAATGCATGTTTATAATGGTTGTTCTTTTATATGTTTATTTGTTTTAAGTACTGTTTATATATAAATATAGTTATATAAGTAGAATTTTATAAACAGAAAAACTTTCAGTTTTATAAAGAGTCATTCAAAAGACATTCTTTCTCTCAAACAGCAATTTTGACTGCAAATATATATTTAGTTATTTTAACTGCAAATACATATTTAGTTATTTTGACTGCTGATACATTTTTCGTTATTTTGACTGCAAATAAGTATTTTTTTTAAATTATTTTTTTAATTTTAATTTGCTTTTAACAAGGCTGCAAGCAACCACTATTAAGTTGGAAGTAACTAGAAAATGAAGAATTAAGTTTAAATAAAGAGCAAGGTAGTGGTTGACAGAAGACTTGAAAAGTTAAAGGTTGTATGTGTCAGGAAAACATGATGGTGAAATTGAGTTCGAAAGAGATGAAGTGCTGGTAAAAAAACTAGACAAATAAAAGTTTTTAGAGAATAAAGCAACAGGTACAGTAAAAGAATGTGACTTTGCTGAATGGCTAACCAAACGAGAATATGTTTTGGTTAATTGAACTAGAGATGATAGTACTTTTGAGCAGCAACCATGATAGTTTTTGTAGAAAAGAGGAGGTACAACTTTATGACAACGGGAAAGAGGCTCAAGCTTGGCAAATAAACCAGGTCAAGCTATGTTTACATTTTTGGACCTCGTCTAAAAGAGAAAGAGGATTATTAGAAGAACCAGCCCAAATATACTAACAGTAATCCATACAGATTGTGGCTTGCATTGACTTATTTCATAAGCCAATGCAAGCCATGCTTTGTTACAAAAGTGATATCAGATTCAAAACTGCCTGTTCTAAGTGATTGGAAATGGAAGACTTTTTGTCAAGACAGGAGTATAAAGTTGAGTTGTCAGCAAATAAATTCACTTTAGATCTAAGGTTAGGGAGATCATTAATGTAGATTAGAAAAAAAACAGAACCAAAGATAAAACATTGAGGTACTCCAAAGTTTATGGAAATGAAGAAGAGTGTTTGAGGATGACTTTAATAAAACAGTTAGAAAAAAATGATTTGATAATCTCTAGGGATGTACCAAAGCTTCGGCTTCGGCATGCCAAAGCTTTGGCACTTTTGCCGAAGCTTCGGCTTCGGCCGAAGCCAGGATCAGTTTTTGCCGAAGCATTGGCCTCGGCAAGTTTTTTTAGGTAATTAAAGGTAATATGCTACTTTTGGATTAAACATAAAATAACTTTATTGCTTGCAATATAATTAAAATTTTTACTACTTGTAATTTGCTCCTTTACTTTGATTTCTTGGCGTATACGTCATGCCTGCTTATCAAAATTAAAATGTATGCCTGCTTATTAAAATTAATGGGTACTTTTTTATTTTATTTAAGTTTTATGTTTAATTTTATTCCGCTGTTATATTTACTAAAACCTATTTTCGCTGTAACTTGTATTTAGTTTTTTTGCGCTTGAAACGTATGCTAGAAACTTTATTTCTAATCACCACTCAAAAACATGAATAGTTAATGATTTTATAATTACAGAAGCAGATAACATGCAGAAAATCAATAGCAGCATGCAGCAATAATTGTATGCATACTAAAACACTTTGAAAGCGCTACGAAAGGTAAGAGCAGACAAATCAGAGATCACACCGTTTCTTGACTATGCTAGGGACAAATCAACTGAAATCAAAACTGTTGTTAATGAACTTAAAACTGATTTTAAAAGTCATTTTTATTAATTCAAAGATAACGTTTGTCTGAAAATTGCAATGATTCTCAAACCCCATTTCAAATGAAATTTTTTAAAGAAACAGATCATAGCAAGTTTAAGGAAATTTTATATCAACGGTACTACCGCTTTTATTTAAAGTATCGATCCTCTAAATGAAAGCAGTAGTATCCTTGATATAAATTTTGCTTGCCTGTTGTAAATGATCATTTACAACAAGCAAAAAAAGTTCAAAGAACGTTGCGAACGTTCAAGAACGTTCTATGAACATTCTATGAACATTCATAGAACGTGCTTGAATGCCAAAAGAAACAGGCTGTTGCCTGAGCATGGAGAACAGAATACGTTTTTAAACTATAGTTTGCCTGATTTCTAATAGATAATTAATTTAAACGTAGTAAACTAATTAAGTACAATAAAAACAAATTCCTTTGCTTATTATTGTAATTTCTAAATGGTAATTTTACTATAATCCAAAGTACAAACTAATGTAAACTAAACATTGTTTATAATATAACTTTAAAGTTTAGACTTGATTAAGTTGACGAGAAGCCAAATTAGTTCACACCCTAATTAAATTTCTAATTTGCATTAGTAATAACTAGTTAGCTGGCCATCTTTATTTTCAAGTAACATTAAATTTGTTCAAGCAAGGCATTGCTATATCCTTAAATCCTATGACATTGGATAATTAACAAAAAACCTTGATTTGTTATAGTAAAATACCTTGTGCGCTAAAATACTTTTAACTGTAGTACATATAATTTATAATATGCAATACATATTATAGCTGTAGTAAAATGTTATAAATTGTTTTCAGCAAATAGTATTATCACTAGATAGCTAGATCTGCAAGATAGCAAAATTATCTAGGTAAGTGGAAAGGCTTCGGCTTCGGCAGAGTGACTTCGGCCAAAGCTTCGGCTTCGGCAAAATCTTAGCTTCGGTACATCCCTAATAATCTCAAAAACTTTTCCAGATACACCACATGAAAAAAATTTATAGAAAAGACCAGCATGCTAAACTCAATCGAAAGCTTAAAATATGTTTAAAATTCAAAGACCTTATTAATAATAGACTGATTAGATGATTAGTAAGAGGGGTCAGAATGTTCTCCTGATTTTTAAAAAATTGGAACCACAGATGTCATTTTCAAGCAGGCTGAAAAACAAGATTTTTTCAGGCATTTATTAAATAGTTTAGAGCAAATCAAAGAGAGTTTCGGAGAACACTTTTGTAAGGCTATGACAGGAATGTTGTCTGGACCACAAGCCATAAAAAAGTTAAATTGAGATATGACTTTAACAACGGAAGATGGAGTTTTGAATGTGTAACCTGTTTAACAACGGAAGATGGAGTTTTGAATGTCTAACCTGTTTAACTGGAAAGGCAAGAAGAGTATGGCCATTAGATTCAAAAATTGAACAAAAAGTTTTTTGCAAATAGTATTCTAGGGGGAGGTAGTAATATCAGTCTTATGATTTAGAGAAGAAATGTTAAACTTACATTTGTTAATGATATTGTTGAAGATTTTCCAAAAGTTCTTAGAGCCTAACTTCTGAGATAAATAAACTGGGAATATTGGAGTTTAGCAGACAACACCTTTTTATATTGATTTCTTCCAATAAAAATAGGTATTTGTTCTTACCTATTTATATATTGCAAGAAACCGCAAACAGAGTTAATATGATGATGATGAAATAAAATGATTTTGGTTAGATATAGCAACTGCACAAGAAGGAATCGATAAGTTGAAATAAAAGAGTGTTTATCAGTGGAGAGAGAATCAGCCGATGCAGACATCAGAAGACATCAGCCGATGGAAAGTCACAAAAAAAAAATCATGAAAAGTCAGATTATTAGATAGAAAACTAGTAATTTTTCAAAAAAAAACTATGCATTACTCAATTTAAAATATCTTTTTAAGGAGCAAGAAAGTGCAACAAATCTTCTAGGGTTATTTATTAGTCTTCTAGGGTTAGGTATTAGTAAGTAGTGGTGAGTCTGAAGAAAAAGTATGAGATGAAAGATTAATAAAGATCATTGCATGGTTGGAATCACCTAATAGAGAACAAGAAGAAACTTAACACAAGCTAGAATCAGAGACACAAGACACAAATCAAGGAGTGAAGTTAAGCAATTAAGGTTGTCTGGAATGAGTCACTTAGTTAGCTATCTGAGTAAGAGATTAAGAAATACAGAAGTTATGGGTTTTAGTGCTAGATGAGCATTAAAGTCACCAATAACAATAATATTGGCAGAGGGGTAAAAAGAAAGGGCATGGTCAATTTGATCAGAAATTAAATCTAAAATAGTACAGTCTTGAGAAAAAGGGAATGATAAAAACAAAGAGAAAGACGATAGAGTGGTGTGGTGCTAAGCAGAAGCACATAAAAAAATGGTCAGAGGATTTAAACCTGATTTCTTGACATAGTGGACCTGTTCTTGCAGCCAACTTCCACCCAGTATCACAATGCTGCATGTAATGTTACTTCTCTTTCTCTTTTCTACAAATACTATAATGGGCACTGCTCTAAAGAGCTAGTGTCTTTTGTGTCATCTATTAAAATTCATTGTTGTGTTACTTGTCATTTAATTATATCTCATCCTTTTACTGTGTCTATTTCTAAGTTTTCCAAAAATTGTTGTTCATCTAATTTTTTCCTTGGGCGTCGGTTCTTTTGAATTCGCTTCCTTAATCTTCTTTTCCAGGTTCATATAATTTGCAATCCTTGCAGCCTTGTTGGAAGTGAAGATATTGAAAAAAAAAAAAAAAAAGGTCAATTACTTGAAATAGGTGAATTGGTGAATGTAAGTATACACTTAAGCCAAGCATTTGATTATTGGAGTCTTTGAGGTCTGAAGTAGGAACCGTTGAATTTAAGTTTCACAATGAGCAAGCAAGTCTGGTAAACTTTGCAAGAGGTAAGATTTAACTGGTGGAAACTTACTTCGAAGATCAATCTTTGTGACAGATATATTGAAACAGTGATTTGGTGGAGGTTGTTTTTAATTTTTAATACTTTTGGTATTGTTTAAGTTTAAAGATAACTTGACTCATTTATAGATGAAGCATGGCATCCCAAGCAATAAGCTATGCAGTTGTCTCAGTTCTGCTAATTAACCCAAAGTTGTAACATAGGGCTCTTTATGTGGCCTTGACAATGCACACTAAAAGCATTAACAGGGACACCATCCATGCACAACACTGTTAATACTCTGATTTTTTACAGCTGTTGATGGAATCAGCCTCTCTGAGAGCTACCACAGAGTTTGAGAAACCTTACTAACTGAGATTGTATAAAATAAAGAACTATTTCTTTTTTCCTTTATTAATTAACTGTTTGAATCTTTATTTTTTATCAGAATCTTTATTTTTAACTGCAATATATTTTGCTTCATTTAACTCATTGTAGTTTAATGAAACAAAATTTGAATGTTAATGCTAGATGCCTAGATTAAAACCATATGAATCCTGATTATTTAATAATGTAATTTTACAAAAATAGATTAGTTGTCCCTATTTTAAATTTAGAATAACATCTTTAAAAATATGAGCAAACTTGATCAAATAAAAGAACAAATGAGCTGGGATCAACAGGCTTTAGATGCCTGGATGGGTGAATCTGCAAAACAGGATGAAGATTCTATGATTTTATTAAAGTACGCAAAAGATGATGAGGGAAAAATTAAGGTACAATTTTTTGTTAACATTTATTTTAGAAAGAGTTAAAATAGATAAGAAACTAGATATCACTGTAAGTACATAAATTTATGTTGATATATTTGTTAATTATTAACATAGATGTGTTTTTGACTTTATGAAAATCCTGGAAAATTATTTTAATAAAAAATCTGGAAAATCCTAGAATATTTTACAGTCAACGAATTGACAAAGGTATGTGGGTAAATTCTGGAACGTTGGTAAAAAGATAAATAAAGTAACTAAACACTACTGAAAAATTTCTCTAAAATTCTCTAAAATCAAATATAATATCTCAGTTTTACCATAAACAATCTGCAAAGCGTAATAATTTATTAATTTTTAAATATAAAATGTCAGGCAATTGTTCAGAAATTAATACTTTTTTTTCTTAAAACTTTCTGCTACAAAACATTTGACAGCTTTTCTTTTTCTGCACTTTTTTGCATGTTCAATTAATAGACTTATACTATTATAAAAATGTTCTTCAACTTTTATGTTTTTCCAATTGAATTTCATTTTTTTTAATTTTTTAAACATTTGTAAACTTTTAAAACAAAATTTAGATTAACTTTTTACAAAAAGGAATTTCTAATATTCAAAAAAGTTAATTTGAATGAATTAAAACAAAAAAAAAATGAAAAAAAAATTGTTACAAAAATTGACTCGTGATAATTTTAATTATAAAAAACATATTTGTTTAAATGCAAACATTGTCGTATTTAAAATTTTATATAATTTTTTTCAAATTAAAAACAAAAAACATTAGGAAATTTCTGGAAAATTAAAGGAGTTTTTTTTTTTTTTTTTAATGTTAATTCACCTCCCCAAAGCTGATAAGGCCACTACAGATGAGGAGTCTACTTAGTTGTGGTTATAACCCTCTCTCAACTCTGTAACTCCGAAACACAAACCTCAATGAACAAGGCGGCTGTGCAGAGAAACTAGTGTTTCAAGCGAATTTATGAAATTCCAGAAAATCTCAGAAAAAATTCATCTATGTATTAATAAAAGACTAGTTTCATCTAGTTTATTAAAAAAATATTGTTTTTTTAAATATGGCAGTTAATATTTTATAAATGACAATTAAAAATAAAATGAAAGAATAAATTTGTTTAAATGATGCTTAACATTTTATAAATGATAATAAAAAAAGATAATAAAAAATAAATTTGTTTACATATGATGTTTAACATTTTATAAATGATAATAAAATATAAATTTGTTTGAATATGATGCTTAACATTTAATAAATAACAATAAAAAATAAAATTAAAAATAAATTTGTTTAAATATGTTTAATATTTTATAAATGATAGTAAAAAAATTAAATAAAAAATAAATTTGTTTAAATACGATGTTTATATTTTATAAATGTATACATTTTATATAAATGTATACAATTTAGAAATGATAATATAAAAAAGTAATTTTGTTATGATTTTGAAATTTGGTATAAAAAAATTTTATAAAAATTTTTATTTGAATTCAATATTTTTTTAATTTCATTTTTGTATATTTATTATTTCTTGTACAGCTGGTTTACATTTTTGAAACACTTGCTTTATGTAGCTTTTGCTTCCATAATTAGTTTTTAAGATTTTTTTTTCCAATCAGTTTATATAACTTTTATTTGCATTCTTGGTTTACAGATCTTTTTCTAGCATTTCTTTGAATTTTCTTAAAATCATCAAAGTTATCATCAGGATTTTGGAGACTTTTACATAAAAAGTTATCATCAGGATTTTGGAGACTTTCATATAAAAAGTTATCACCAGGATTTTGGAGACTTTCACATAAAAAGTTATCATCAGGATTTTGGAGACTTTCACATAAAAAGTTATCATCAGGATTTTAGAGACTTTCACATGAAAAGTTATCATCAGTATTTTTTTTCACTTAAAAAGTGTAAAACCTCCAAAACAAGCAAAATTAAACTCTTTAAAATGTTTCAAATTGCTTGTGAAATGTTGAGAGTCACTTTTGAAATGTTTCAAATAACTTGTGAAATGTTCCGAATGACTCCTGAAAATTCCTAAAGAATAAATAAATAAAAATCATAATAAAAAAACAACAATAATATTCTTTAAAAAAACAAAAGGCTGGAAAGACCAAAGTCTCTTACTTACAAAAAACTTTTGAATGTAAGAGACTTTACTTTCTTAGTAATTATGAAAAATAATTTTTTTTTGTCATTTACCAGAAAAAAATATTTTGATAGAAATGTGCCAGAACCAGTTAATGCCAAGTCTCCAATTTTAGGTACCTGGAAGAAAATGCCAGGTTCATCTGGCACTAGGTCTGTTTTCTAAAAATTACTGTGAATACATAATGTTATGTTGATGTATTTGTTAATTAAAAAGTTGGAATAAAAGCTTGAATAAAAGTATGGATAAAACATGTAATTGATAATTTTTTTTATATATATATATATATCTTCGCTTCCAACAAGGCTGCAAGCAACCACTATAAAACTTAGAAGTTACTGGAAGAGAAATGATGAAGTTTGTAGAGCAAAATAACGACTGGTAGATGACTTAAAAGATTACAAATCAAGAAAGCAAGAATCAGGAAAGCAAGACGAGGAAGCGTTTTCCAAAGAGCTGATGTTCGAGGAAAAAAACTAGACAAATAAGAATTTTTGGAGCACTTAGGAACAGTCACAGAAAAAGGATGCGACTTAATTGAATGATGAGTAATACAAGAATGAATTTTAGTAGATGGCACAAGAGACATTTGCTCTTTAGAGCAGTGCCCATTATAGTATTTGTAGAAAAGAGAAAGAGAAGCAACATTACAACGATGTGATAATGGTTGGAGGTTGGTTGCAAGAGCAGGTCCAACTATGTTTAAAATGCATCTTGTCTAAAAGAAAAAGGGTATCATTAGAAGATCCAACCCAGATATAGCAACAGTATTTCATAGAAGGATTGCTTTGAGATTTAAAGAGATAAAGAATAGGAAGTGTTGAGCTTGATAAAGAGATGCAACCTTAGAAGATGCTAATTTTGCAATGAATTTGATATACAGTTTCCAAGAAAGATTGAAAGTAAGAGTTAATCCTAGAAGATGAAAGGTAGATGACTCATCGAATACATTACCGTTCATAAATATAGGAAGACCTAAATTATTGCTATAACAATTGGCTGAAAAAAATTGAGTTTTATCTGAATTAAAGTTCACTAGCCACTATGAGCCCCATGTTGTTGCAGAAGTGATCCTTTTCAAGCTCAGATGCCCCCTCCAAGCAATCAGAGAGTGTTGGCTATCTTATCATAACAAGAATAAATGTAGTGTCATCAGCAAACAATACTGCCTGCACAATAAAACTTATCGGTTATTACTGTTAGCAAATCAGCTGTAGAACGAAAAGATCGAAATCTATATTGATTATCAGAAAGTAATTTGACTAAAGATGAGAGATTAAGTGTTTGTCAATTAAAGATTCAAAAATGTTGCTTATGATAGGAAGAAGACTAATGGGATGGTAGTTAGACAAGTCAGATTGCTCTCTAGAGTTTTTGGGAAATAGAGATAACAGATGCCGCTTTCAGCATGCTGGAAAACAAGACTCTGAAAAGCACTTGTTAAATAGTTTTGAAAGTATAGGCGACATCTCTTAAAACTATATCTTTAAAAATATAAATAATTTAATATCAAGTTATATGTTATGTAGGGTTTAATTATATAGGTTTATTTATATAGGGTTTGTTGGTATAGGCTTTATTTAATAAATCTTTTATTTATCATGATTTTGGTTAGACTTTGAACTGAAATTTTGTTCAAAACTATTATTACAGTAAGTACTGAACTGATTTTCAGTTTCATTACAAATAACAAGTTTCTGTTGAAACCAACTCTGAAACTAAAATTTTCTAATCACTAATTTTTATTTCAAAATTTTATGCTTTTTAAAACAACCATAAAGCAAGTTAACACAGTTATATTAATTTATACAAATGCAATGTATAAAGAAATTGTTTTGTGCAAATAAATTATAAAAAAAAACTATTTTGTACAAATACAATATATAAAAATTGTTAAACATAATATATAAAAACATCATTTTGTACAAATAAGAATATAAAAATTATAAAACACAATATATATAAATATTATTTTGTACAAATGCAATATATAAAACACAATATATAAAAATATTATTTTGTAGCAATTATCATTAGCACAAGAAAAATTGATAGAAAAATGCCTACAAAAAAGGAAATTATTAGAACAAGAAATTACACGCACTTTGACTTCACAGGTAAGTTGTTTTTATTGGAATTAAAATTTTCCAACATATATATATATATATATATATATATATATATATATATATATATATATATATATATATACTATTATATATATATAATATATATATATATATATATATATATATATATATATATTAATATATATATTATTATAATATATATATTATGTATATATAAGTTAGTAAAATCAATTGTTTAATTTTTCTTCAACAACTTGTTTCTCCATCAGTAGGTTTTTCAGGAAGAATATAAAAGTAATAAAAAGTAAGTAATAAAAAGAAGTAATAAAAAGAAATGCGCATTTATACAATTTGATATTAATGACTTTTAACCTTTATTTTAAACCTATTTTGACCCTTTAAATACAGCAGAATTTTTTGATAAATTTACAAGATGTAAAATTAAAGACGATACCTTTTGTCTAATTAAACATTGCAGAAAAACTTCACTCTATTTTAATAACAAGACCTTGAAGAAAAAAAACACACATGAATACTTTGATGTAACAAGGGGAAGTTATGATGGAGCAGAAATTTGTAGGTTTATATATTTTAAATTCCCTTGCTAAAATAGTTCATTTTAATCAGTTAGACAAAATAAATTAGGACCTCAATTTGAAAAAATCAGAAAAAACTAAAAAATTTTTTAAAATATTGGCAAATTTAAATAAATATTGATTTGAAAATTGTTAATTTTCTTGATGTCACATTTAATCTCTCGGAAAATTCTTATAGGCTCTATAAAAAATCTGATGATGAATTACCATATATTAATATAATTCAAATCATCCCCCTTAAATCTTAAAACATATTCCTAATTCAATTAACAATAGACTAAATCAAAACTCTTCTAACGAAAACTTTTTAAACTCTTCTGAAAAAAGTGGATTTAAAAATTTTGAGCTAAAATTTGAAACAAAAATTGCAAAAAAGCGAAATAGAAATATAATTTGGTTCAACCCTCTGTACAGCAAAAATGTTTCAACAAACATTGAAAAAGCGTTTTTAAAATTAATAGACAAACATTTCTCTCCCTCTAATAATTTGTAGAAAATTTTTAACAGAAATATTATTAAAGTAAGCTGTAGCTTTACAAAAATTATTGAAAAAGTTATTAAAAGCCACAATTTTGAATTGATTAGTAAAAATGATTTTCATAAAGAAAAAAATACTGAAAATTGTAATTGTAAGCAAAAAGTTGACTGCCCTATAAATTGCAAATGCTTATCAAAAAATATTATTTACAAAAGCATTTTTTCCTCTCAAAATAACCCTGATGAATGGAAAAAAATAAATGGTTAAATGCAAAAAAAGTTATGCCAACCTCAAAAAATCTTTTAGGCATAAAAAATACTCAAAAGAGACTATGCTTTCAAAATATATTTGGCGACTAAATGAAAAAAAATTTAATTTTAAATTAAAATGGTCCATTTTAAAAACTGCGCCTGCCTATAATAACATTTCCAAAAAATGTACACTATGTTTACAAGAAAAATTTGAAGTTATTACATTTGGATCAAGAAAAATTTACTAAACAAAAAATCTGAATTAACAGTAACCATATCTATATTATATATATATATATATATATATATATATATATATATATATATATATATATATATATATATATATATATATATATATATATATATTTATATATATATATATATATATATATATATATATATATATATATTTATATATATTTATACATATATATATATATATATATTATATATATATATATATATATATATATATATATATATATATATATATATATATATATATATATATATATATATATATATGTATATTATATACATTTATATATATATATATATATATATATATATATATATATATTATATATATATATATATATATATATATATATATATATATATATATATTCAATTTGAAATGTCTTTGTTTTTTCATCTGATAATAGGTGCTCTACCATGTGAACCTGTGTTAATTACATTGGTAATTGCATGAAATTTTTTTGATTAACTAAAAAAGGTTTGATAAATTCAGAATTAATTGGAATAAAAACATTTGATTATTAAGACTGATTATTAATTTGATTGATTATTTGATAATTCAAGTTTAAATAAAATGACTTCTCTTTATAAGTAAGGTTTTGCTATCTCACTTTTAAATCCAAATAGTCATATTCAAAAGATTGTGTTATATGTTTTGAATAAATAATATATTCCCATTTTAAATTGCTTTTCATTTTATTGCAGTGATAATCTTTTAATCAATTTATAAAAATGTTTTAATTAAATGATTATTTAATATTTTATTTTTAAATTTGTTATTAGTATGTATAATACTCAAGAAAGTACTTGAACTTATGAACGAACAGAGGTTGTACTTAACCTAAAATTTTTGCATTGGGACCCATTGTCTCAAATGTAGAAGGAAGAAAAAAATAACTTTTTTTTTAGATTTTATTTCTTATCATTTAAAAAAGACAACCAATTTTGAAAGTTTGAGCCCCCTTTCTTTGAGGCGGTTGTCAACTTTAGGAGGTCATAACTTTTGAATGTTAAAATATTTTTTTACTAAAATTTCATAGATGAATCTTGAGTTCATAGTGTTAATAATGAGTTCATAGTGTTAATAATAAACCTTTTTTTTTTAAGTACTATCAATGCCCCCTTCCCTTACAAATATTTGGACTTTAGGCCCCTAATTTGGGGATAATATTGTTCTCATTTGTATTAGTGTGAAAATACATGTCTGGAACAGCTTTCGGAATTAGGGTCAGCATTAAGCAATGTTCGTCTAATTGCTGACCTAAAAGTTTTTGAGGTCAGGAAAAATATAACCGACCTCATTTCTATGTTTTAAGGTAACCTCTTTGTGTCAAAATTTTTTTGCCATCCTGATGCCGATGTCTAACAGTTTGAGGCAATTTATTGCTGACCTCATTTTTTCTAATTCCGAGGGTTGCTGGAGGTTACTTATCTTGAAAAAAAAAATCTTGAAACTGATCTTTTGGTATTCAATTGTTTTTCAATTAGAGAATGGTTTTTTACATCCATATTTTCAGTTTTTATATTTAAAATATTTTATATAAATTTCTAAATTTCAAGTTTCAAATATGAAATCAAGAATAAAAGGTTCGTCCTACTTTCTATTAAATTTTCTCCTCTCATTGTGAGAGTGCAATGGTGGGGTAGTCTTTTTCCAATGGCAACCCTGCATTTTTCACATATTGTTATTGTTCCAGGTGATGATGCTTTTACTCTTCCCAGTTTGATTCTCCTTCTATTATCAGATGTTGATCCTGGAGTAATTGTAATTCGAACAATTTCACAGAAGCCACAAACACAGAATGACTGGTTTCTGGTAAGAATACTTACTTTAACTTTTGAGAAATCATAGGGTTTACTCAGAATAATGTTTTTATCTCCTTTTTCAAGTCTTTCTAATGCTTTGCTACATTATTAAAGTTTTGCCATTAGGAAAGTTTTCATTGTTCAAATCAAATGATTTAAAAAAAAACTTATGTGGTCTGTTCAATGTCACACTTCCTTCTTTAATTTCTGTCATTCCTAGTTCTTTTTGAAAAACTAATTAGGCAGACTAAGGTTCTATTACTTTTATGAGATTTTTTAATGTTTGGCATTTTAAAATAATATGAGCAATACTAATCAATTTTTAAATTGTTTTTTTAACTACTACAGCAGATGAAAAAAAGTTCATAATATCTATTAATAAATTTTCCTACTTTATACTTTAAGGAAGTATAAAAAACAGAAGGATGTTGTTTATACATTTAACCTGTAATGTAAGCATTTTTTACCGTAATTAACATATTATTTAAAATTTTCAATAAAACTAGGGCAGCAAAGTCAATATATTAGTTAGGAAAGGGGGCAATAATAGCACTTAACAAAAAAAACGTTTTAAACATAGTTGGACCTGCTATTTCAACCAACCTCCTACCATTATCACATTGTTGTAATGTTGCTTCTCTTTCTCTTTTCTATAAATACTATTATAGGCACTGCTCTAAAGAGCTAGCGTCTCTTGTGCCATCTACTAAAATTCATTCTTGTGTTACTCGTCATTTAATTATATCTCATCCTTTTACTATGACTGTTCCTAGGTTTTCCAAAAATTTTTATTCATCTAATTTTTTTCATCGAACATCAAATTTTTTTTTAGATAAATTAATTTTTCTGATGAATTTTAATCAATTTTAAAATAATAATAGATTTTTCAGGTGTATATTGTTCCCAGACTCCTTTCACTGTAATTTTCTTTGTAAAACATTCTAATTTGATACCACTATCAATAATACAAAATTTAAAGTTTACATCATCTCTGGAAGTTACCTATCTTAAGCAGTTTAGCAGTTTAACCCCTATTTTTTTGAAAGACGACAGATTAT